GAGCTTGCAGTGAGCTGAGATCCAGCCACTGCACTCCCGCCTGGGCGACAGAGCGAGACTCTGTCTCAAAAAAAAAAAAAAGAAAATTATTAGTTGCTTGTCCTGTTTTGACTTCTGAAACAGAAGAGTGGTCACACAAAGGTAAGAGAAGGGCCGGGTGCAGTAGGTCACGCCTGTAATCCCAAGGAGGCTGAGGCTGGCGGATCATTTGAGGTCAGAAGTTTGAGACCATCTTGGCCACGTGGTGAAACCCCATCTCTACTAAAAATTAGCCAGGCGTGGTGGTGCGTGCCTGTAATCCCAGATACTCAGGAGGCTGAGGCAGGAGAATCACAGGATCCGGAGTTTGCAGTGAGCCGAGATGGCACTACTGCACTCCAGCAAAAAATAAAAAGAAGGGAGGAAAAAACTACTATCACTGTATTGGGTATCTTTAGAGGCAGGGGCCCACAGCAGAAAGCCTTGCAGCCATCCCTATTTCCAGAGAGGATCAGCTATTTCTTCCTTTTCCTCTCTCTCCTACTAGTACCTCATTTTCTACATTGATTTGTAGTGCTATTGCCAGTAACGTAATAGGAGCTGAGCTACAAAGGGCTTGCTTGGCCTTGACTTTTTGAAACCCTCTTTACATCTTGGCTGTCCTCCATTAAATAAGGCACAATGTTTATTTGTATAACCCAGAGACTCTGAGCAGTCAAAATCCAACACCCACCCACCTCCCTCCCCACTCCATGCTCATGTTCTCTCTTACTGTGACAACTAGCATAAGGATAGCATAAAGAAGGTAAGTAAGCAAGTAGAAACTCTAGATTGAATTTCCACTACCCCCAGTTGTGACTACATCCTGTGATTCCTGAATGTATATGAGGGAACTAGAGGTAGCAGTCTACACGGAAAAAGGAAGTTGGGAGTCACTTGTCTTGAAGAGTGTATGCGTAGAAATTGTAAAATTAGATTGCATATTTTTAAGCTTTTGGGAAATGATGGAGATTATGGAAAGGATTGAAGTTCTGCTTGACCTTGCACTACTTGGCACATTTGGCCCACCATCCATTCAGAACTTACCCCTTGCTTCAACTCAATATCTCAAATAGGAGCACATGGGTGTTTGGCTACTTCAGTTCCTCCTGGGTCTGTGACCTCTGCATTAGCAGATTATTTGTTCACTTTCTTCTTCCTGTCTCCTGATATCACAATAGATGAAATCATAGGAACTATCCTTTGTAGTTTGGCTAGTGTCACAATCTGTACCATTCATTCTATGTCTTTGAGACATTGGGGGATAGGTACTTAGGTGGGCACTGCAATTATGCAATTTTGCTTGTAGCCAACTCCACTGTGCTGAAAGTTATTTAGAGAATGTAGTCTCTGATGTGGTCTGGCTCTGAAAAACCCATTTTAGGTTTGGGGACCTTTCTTATTGATGGCCTGATTTCAAGAGGCATACCCATATCATTCTGGCTCTCAGGTGCACCCCAGCACCTTGCATCTAAGCCCTATCATTTACTCTTGTTCCCACAGTACCACCATCTTTCTTCTCAACTCTAGCCCTGATTAGCCTCACTAACACCAAGATTTCAAGTGACCTGATAAGATTGTGGTAAAGTCTAAGTTTTCTATTATTTTAAAGAAATTACTCCATTGCCTCCTGGCTTGCAAAGTTTTTGTTGAGAATACTGCTGTAATTCTAAATTTTGGTCATCTATACATAATTTTTTTTCCTTGTTGCCTTCTAGATATCTTTTTAAAATTTTCAGCAGTTAAACTATGATGTGTCTTTTTTTGATACAAGATCGATTCTGTTGCCCTGGCTAGAGTGCAGTGGTGTGACCTCAGCTCTCTGCGACCTCTGCCTCCTAGGCTCAAGCAATCCTCTCACCTTAGTCCCCTAAGTACCTATAATTACATGCATGTGCCACCATACCCAGCTTTTTTTCTTTTCTTTTCTTTTCTTTTTTTTTTTTTTTTTTTTTTGTGTAGAGCTGAGGTTTCACCATGTTGCCAGGCTGGTCTGGAACAACTGTGATCAAACAATCCTCTCACCTTGGC